ATGCTGTCTCCCTGCTGGAATTCCACATTCAGGGGACAACTGTGTCCAGGAGATCAACCTCTGGGGAAGGTGCAGAGGAAGCAGACTCTCTCAGTTCCTCAGCCGGATCGCAGAGGATGGGACCCACAGCCGGTGAGTCTGAGTCCGATTGTCACCACTTGGTTCCAGAGGGTGGGGCTGCTATTCAGGTGAGGACAACAAAAAGGGTCAGGCTATCACTTAGATGAACCAGAAGCATGGATCCACCCAAAGCAGAGGAGGCAGAGTTGTCCTCCCAGTGGGCCTGGAAGGTGGGCTGAAGCCCAAGGCTCAGAGACTCCACTTTGATTCCAGAACAAAGCCAGCACTTGGCATCTGGGGTAGGGCCATCACACAGGTGTCCAAGAAAAGAGGGACATCTTCAAGTTTTGGAGTGAATGGGAAGTGTTCTGCTGAGCTTGGGATTTGCTTTTTGCCTGTTGACCCTTCTTTCTCTCCAGTTTCTTCCATTTGTAATGAAACTACCTGTTGCCTGTTCTTCCATTGTACCCTGGAAGCAGACAGCGTGTGTTCTAGATTTCACTGATTCACCCATAAAGAGGTGGCAATGTGCCTAAATTCTTGCCCCTATTTGATTCAAATAATTCAGAAAACTTGGAGTTGATTAAAGACTCTTGGGATAATGTAATGGGGGAAATGTGTTTTGCAAGTGTCAAGGATGTGAATTTGGGGCCCCTCAAAAATGGGACGTTGTGGATTAAATGGTGTTCCCCCCTCCTCACAAATATGTGCTGTAAATCGTAACCTATGTCTGTGGTAATAATCCCATTTGGGAATTGTCTTTAAATGAATGATTAATGGACGGATTTTCTATTGATATGTAAAAGAGATTAAACAAGAAAGCTAGAAACAGAGATGAAAGAAGAGAAATGCTGAGCCACCTGGAATTGCCCCAAGAGCTTAAATTCAGTCTTCTAGCATCTTAGACTGGGAGTTAACGTATTTCTGTTGGCTATAGCCTGGTGGTTATTTCTGTTACAGCAGCCCTAGATAACTAAGGCCCCACATAGTTTATGCCTGCCACTCTATTTGAATCTTCAACTTCTCCCACGCAGGGAGAAACCAATAGTTGCACCTTAGATGGCTGGTCATAAGCTTTTAAGACCCTAGTCACTACTCACCAAGGTTAGGATGTGGAACATCGTCTTTGTGAACTGTTTTGTCCATTTACCTTGGTGTCCTCCAAGACTATGATACTGATGCCTCAGCACTCCCCCGGCAATTCATTCCCCGAAGATGTTTGGTTACATGTTATTAACCTGCTCCCTCAGATTCATGGATGTATTCGCAACAACAGTAAATATCGTGTACCAATATCCAATTAAATCTATGAGTACCCTATTTGTTCTCCCTCCACTCAGTCTATGTCCATCCACACACCTGGTCACATGACCATTATTGCAGGGCGGCGAACCTAACAGTTCTTTAACTCTGTTGCTCTTCACTGTTGCATGGCTTTCAACATCTGCTCATCTCCACTATCTTGTCTACTTCCCTTTTTAAAAAAATCGTTTTATTAGGGGCCCATACCACTCTTATCACAATCCATACATACATCAATTGTGTAAAGCACATTTGTACATCCATTGCCCTCATCATTCTCAAAACATTTGCTCTCCACCTAAGCCCCTGGCATCAGCTCATTTTTTCCCCTCCCTCCCCGCTCCCCCTGCCTCATGAACCCTTGATAATTTATAAATTATTATTTTGTCATATCTTGCCTTGTCCGACGTCACCCTTCACCCACTTTTCTGTTGTGCGGCCCCCAGGGAGGAGGTCACATGTAGATCGGTTCCCCCTTTCCAACCCACACTCCCTCTACCCTCCCAGTATCGCCACTCTTACCACTGGTCCTGAAGGAATCATCTGTCCTGGATTCCCTGTGTTTCTAGTTCCTATCTATACCAGTGTACATCCTCTGGTCTAGCCGGTTTTGTACGGTAGAATTGGGATCATGATAGTCGGGAAGGAAGCATCTAGGAACTAGAGGAAAGTTGTATGTTTCATCGTTGCTACATCGCACCCTGACTGGCTCATCTCCTCCCTGAGATCCTTCTGCAATGGGATGTCCAGTGGTCTACAAATGGGCTTTGGGTCTCCACTGCGCACTCCCCCCCTCATTCACTATGGTATGATTTTTGGTTCTGATGATGCCCGATCCACTTCCCTTTTATGGGCTATCACCTTCCCCTTCACCCACGGTAATGTGTCTACCTTCTCACTCGTGGAACAGCAGGTACACATTGGGCTGCTAAGCAGTTTGAAACCACCAGCCACTCCACAGGAGAGAGATGAGGCTCTTTTAGGCCAGTGAAGAGAGTCTAGGGAACCCACCAGGCCAGTTCTATCTCGTCCTGTAGGGTCGCCGTGAGTCAGAACGGATGGCAGTGAGTTTGGGTTTGGTCCTTACAACGCTTATATCCTGGTGACACAGTTCAATCCAGAATGTCTTCCATGAATTATATTTCAGGAAGTTATTCCAGGACGTTCCACACAAACAGGTAAATTAAGAAGTGAACAACAGAAAAAAAAAAAAACCACAACGACCAATTTAGAAGCTCCATAATGATGGCGAAGGGAGGGCCAGGGAGCTGCGCTCAGCAAGGGAGCAACTGTCCAGATTGGAAGTGAAGAAGAGGTGGGAGCTCTAGGGAAGACACAACTGACCCGGCCCCTTATGACTGCACAGCTTCAGATTTCAACAACGGACACCAAGTGTGGGCTTCAAGCCATAGTAAGTATGTAAGAAATAAACAAAAGAAAATCAAAGGCAATCATTAACTCCGGTGAAGGCAAAAGGTTCCGCAACAAAGATGAGAGATCCTAGTTTCCCACATGGCCCAGCTGCAAATAACGTTTATTTATAGTAATAGATATACTCAAGGATTAGCCACAGGACCTAAGAGCACAATGAAAGGGAAGAGAATGTATCAGCAAACATGGTAAGGGTCAGGGGCAACACTTCCTCGATAGGATGGCAGAAAATGATCCACCCTCAAATGTCAAGAAGCAATACATCCATGTGCTCTCCTTAAGGGCAAGGATGGAGAAATGTTGTCTCACATACTTGGGACATGTTAGGAGAGGCCAGTCCCTGAAGGACATCATACTTGGTAAAGTGCCCGGGCAGCAAAAAAATGGTTCTTCACGAGATGGACTGACACGGTCACTGCAGCCACCTAACAATGGTAAGGATGGCCCAGAAGCGAGCATGCTTTGTTCTGCTGTAGACGTCAGCAGCGTCACCATGAGTTGGAACCAAGTCTTGGGCACCTGACGACAACGTTGAGGATAATACAGGTTGACACCAAATTGGTTTGCTAAATGGGCGAACTAGGTCTCAGGGGCAAAGGGTTGTTCTTCCTTTAGTGATACACAGTATGGGCTCTTTGACCACACGTGCTCCTAAAAACCAGCAACAACAAAACAAAGCAAAACAAAAATGACTTTAAAAATGAAAAGGCGGATATTCAACCGGCCGTTCCGGGCCTCGGACTTTCTCTCCTAGAACCATGGCCCAGTTCCTCCGTAACTTGGTGGCGAAGGCCCCGGGGATGGTAAATGCTGCTGCGACTTACTCGAAGCCTCGATTGGCCACATTTTGGCACTATGCCAGGGTGGAGCTGGTTCCTCCAACCCCTGTGGAGATCCCTGCAGCTATTCAGAGCCTGAAAAAAGCAGTCCATAGTGCTAAGACTGGTTGCGACAAACAGCTCACGGTTAAGGAAGCTCTGCTGAATGGTTTGGTGGCCACTGAGGTGTGGATGTGGTTTTATATAGGCAAGATCATAGGCAAGCAAGGCATCATTGGCTATGATGTTTGAAGACCAGTCTTTAACATCTGATTCTATTTGGTTGGCTATTCGAATTTTCCTGGACCATGTGTGATCAGTCTACGCTAATAAAATAGATCATCTAAAAGGAAAAAGAAAAATAGATAAATAAAATGAAAGTGAAAGGGGGGGAAAACATAAATGAGTGCCCAGGGAGAAAGTTAGAGACTTGAAAAGGAATCAGAATGTCAAGCTACGGCTATTCACAGATGCTCCCTGCAGCGCACTGAGCAGGCTTAGTGATCCTCGAGGTGTAATAAAGTACATAGACCCAGTCTGGTCATTCAACAGGTTTTATTGAGCACCTATTGTGTGGCCAGCACTGCCCTAGGTGCCACAGAGGATACAAGTAGATGGAATCTGCCCACAAGGAGCTTACAAAACCCGTTGTGGAATTCGACATGCATGTGATTCAGACAGCATGTGATCTATACAAAGCGGTCAACTCTGAGGCAACTCAGAGACCCGCTGCTGTTGGCCTGGTCTCTCCAGAGCAGGGAGAGGGGCTAAAGCTCGGAGGGGCAAGAACAGGCAGAGCAGGGAAGCTTGGAATGGACAGACCAGGAGATCAGGCAGGCAGGCGAAGGAGCCGTTGTGCTAAACAATGGGTACCAGGGTGGCAGGGCAGGAAAGAGCTGTCAGAACCAACAGCTCTGGGGACTTGGGTTGGGCTGGTGGGTAATAAGACAACTTCATCCTCGCCTTGGCATGAGGCTCTGGTGGGCTTACTAGGGACGCCTGCTGCTTTCCTCCTGCCAGGCCTTCCCCAAGGACAGAGACGGATGGTGAGTGGGGCAGGTGACATTAGTTTTACGCCCTCCTGGCAGAGCTTGACCAAGGAGGTGGTGAGCTTCCAGTACAGGGAGGCTTTGCTCTGCTTCACATCCTCCTTGGTGTTTTTAGGTGAAATGATCAAGAGGCAGATGTTCAGAATTCTTTTCTATCCCTCTGTTGATCACAACTGTCGGTCCAATACCCTAGGTACTAAACCTTCCCCCTGGACCACAGAGGTTCTCTGCCCCATATGCAGTGCTGGTCTTGGGGAGTGCAGGCCCTGCTCTGGGCCTCACAAGGGCATGGCTTCCACTGGTGCTCCCGATGGCTCGCCACACAGCCTTGGACACCTTGGGTGAGTTTGCTTCACTTTGAGGACTTTCCTGTGTGTTCACTTCTGAGTTGGAGGGAGGGCAAGCAGGCAGTGGACTAGACTTGGGGAAGGGAGACGTCAAGGTCATCATCAGCTAGTCCTCCCCACGGCCTCTGCCCTTTAATCAACAGAGCTCAGAGATGGGTAGAAGGCGGTGGTGAGAAAGAACTGGGGCCCTTGAGGGTGCCAGAGTTGAACGCTCCCCACAAGAGGCAGCAAATGGGATGAAAGCACTGTGTGTGTGTGTGTGTGTGTGTGTGTGTGTATGTTCAGAGAGGCCAAAGCAACATAGGTCTGGCAGCAGGTAGATGTCCCTCCTCTCCCTGCTCCAGTGTGCTCTGGTCAGGCACATCCTTGCCCACCCCCATTCCCCAGTCCCAGGGCTCAGGAATTCTGAGAAGCAAAGTCTCTGGGGCTACAGGGTGGGCCGTGGGCAGGGTGGTGGCAGCTCAGGGATTCAGCAGGAGGCGCGTCCCGGGCCACTTGAGCCACAGGAAGGGGACAAGGCGTCCGGTGAAGGTAGCAGTGAAGGTGTAGATGAGCTCTTGCGACTCAGCATTGGTGAAGGTCACGGTGCCACCCTCATAATCCAGGGCTATGCCCACTCTCTGCAGCCGCAGCTTGGGGAAGAGTTCAGTCTCAGGGCTGGTGTTGGCCCAGACGCCTGAGGAGGAGAGGCGCAGGGCCCACACACCGTCCTCCGGCCGCAGGGAGAGAACACCCTTCCTATTCATGGAGTCCCTGGCCACCCCCACCAGGCAGCTCTCCAGAACTTCCTCCTCCTCCTCCTCCTCCCCTGCTTCCTCTTCTTCCTCTTCACCCCCTAGTGATTCCTCATCATCAGTTGTGTCCCATTCATCATGCCCATCCCTATAGCCAGCAGCTTCCTCTTCCTCTACCTCTTCTTCCTCCTCCTCCTCGCCCCCTTCCTTTTCATCATCAGACCAGCTCTCCCGCTCCACCTCCACTTCCCAGTAGACCTTGCCCCAGGTGAAGCCTTTACAGCCCACCACCCCAGGCTCACAGTCAAACTGCTGGGGGTACAGGTAGGTAATCGGATAATGGTTGTTGTAGGTCACGCACTTCCAGTCATTGGACAGCAACAGGTACCTGCTGGCTGACTGCGCGTCCAGGGTGACACTCACTGTGGGGACAAGGGGAGAGGGAACCGTGTGAGCTGTGGTTCACAGGGGCCACCAGGCTGTGCCGGCACCCACCAGGGGCTTTCACCGCAGACTGGCTGCCACCCTACGTACACCACAGTGGGGGCATTGTGTAGTCGGTTACAAGGGTGTGCCTGGCCCAGAGGAAGTCGGGGTGGTGAGATCAGTGCAGAGGGAAGGTGGGGCAGGAGGGGCTGCACTAGCAAGGGGAGCCTTGACTACAGAGAGGCAGATTGCTCACCAGATGAGGGAGGAGGGGTTCAGATTTGCAGTCGGGAACGGTCCCTGTTGTGTTCCAAAAGGGGATCTCCACGGACAGGGCAGTAGAAAGTCAACAGGGAGAGTAGCCATTTCAGGTCAGTTTGGGGACACTTCTTTGAACACTCACCTGTTTTATATTCCAGGTCTTTCACCAATTTCCCTAGAGAAGGGGGGTGGGGAGAAACAGAGCAATGATCCTCAAATCCACTTCCATGAAGTTGATTCTGATTCACAGTAACCCTCTAGGACCGAGCAGAAATGCCCTGTAGGGTTTCTATGACTGTAAGCTTTTATCATTATTGTTATTCTTTTTGTTTGTTTTTTGATCATTTTATTGAGGGCTCTTACAATTCTTATTACAATCCATACATCAATTGTATCAGGCATATTTGTACATATGTTGCCCTCATTCTGTTCTAGACAATTACTTTCTTTTATTTTTTTAATCTTTTTATTAGGGGCTCATACAACTCTTATCACAATCCATACATACATCAATTGTGTAAAGCCCATTTGTACATTCATTGCCTTCATCATTCTCAAAACATTTCCTCTCCACCTAAACCCCTGGCATCAGCTCCTCATTTTTCCCCTCCCTCCCCGCTCCCCCCATTATTGTTGTTATTCATGTGATATATTTTCAATGTTGGCAAAAATATACTTAACAAACCATTCACCAACTCAACTTCTACATGTATAGTTCAGCACCACTGGTTATAGTCTGTTGCACAACCATATCCCTCTGCAAACTGTCGCACCACCATTAACATAAACTCAAAGCCCCCTGAGCAAAAACACTTCCTCCTTCACCCAAGGTAACGATAGATCAAGTTTGGTTTCTCTGCTTTCTCAGTAGTTTTCTTGATACAGTGTTTACTTATCACACACTTCCACAGTTAAACCACTTCTAAAAAGAGTCGTAGAGACATCAACACAATCATGCTCCCCTCCCGACTCCCTGATCAATCACTGCGCCAGTAATTGTCTCTATGCACCCACTCCTTCTGTGCTTCACAAACTGGGAGACCCAACAGAAACAGTTAAAAACAAAATGAAACAGGAAAGCACAATAATAATATTCAAGGGGGTGGCCCCTCCCGCCCCCAAAAGGGGAAAAAATTCCCGCTGATGTGAGGGGATAGTGCCCTTGCAGGCTTGTTACACCGGACAGGGCTGCTAACCCAGCTTTCTATTTAGAGGTTCTGAAAAGATTGCCTAGCAATGTGCGACAAAAAAGGCCGATTTGTGGCAGACGGAGGACTGGTTTTGCCATGACAATGCACCTGCTGGTACAGCCATCCCAGTGCACCAATTCTGGCAAAAACAGCATGCCTCTCTTGCCCCACGCACCTGACTTGCTCTGTGGGCCTCTGTGGGACAGGAAAGGATAGCGATTTGACAACACAGAAAAGATGAAGAAAAAATGGAGTGCTGTCTGCCATCCAAACGAATGGAATGAAAATTGTCTTAAGTGTCATAGAGAGTACTTTGAAGGTGATAGGTTATTCTATTAAAACAATTTTAATAGGGGGGAGCGGGGAGGGAGAGGGAAAAATGAGGAGCTGGTGCCAGGGGCTTAAGTGGAGAGCAAATGTTTTGAGAATGATGAGGGCAATGAATGTACAAATGTGCTGTGCACAATTGATGTATGTATGGATTGTGATAAGAGCTGTATGAGCCCCTAATAAAATGATTTAAAAAAAAGAAAGAAAATGATGATGTCAACAAATGTACAAATGTGCTTGACAAAATGGATGTATGTATGGATTGTGATAAGAGCCGTACAAGCCCCCAATAAAATGATTGATGAATAAATAAATAATTTAAATATATAGCTTTGGGGAAGAAAAAAATGGTTTTTGAGGGGTACTCTGCTAAAAATAAAGAGTAAGAAAGGAAAAACCCCACCAACAATATTTAAAAAGCCAGAGAAGAAATTTCTACCTTGCAACAAGTGAGAAATATTTGAGCTTAGGCCAAATTCAGGTTGGGTCCAGAGAGAGGGCAACTGATCCAGCCAGTATTACATTACACCACGGTTAGATCCACCATAATCAAGTTGACAACAATCTATCTGAGGGGAAAGCTGTACAATTGGCAGTCATCTGAATAGAAGCAGATGGTCTCATGCGACTCCTGCAGAGTCGTTGGCGCATTTGAACTGTCCAACGTTTGGTCAGCAGCCTAATGCTTACGTAACCCACTGCACTACAAAGATTCTCAAGCCTAGCAAATAAACATCTGAGCCCATCTCTCCCGCTCCACAGCCTGAAGGCGCCATGAAGAAGCAGACCATGGCTAGGAGTCCCTGGGAGAGTGAGCTCAGACACTAAGTCTGTTAGGAGCCAGGGTTCCTCTCTCAATCACAGTGGCACCCCCTGCTTCAGACTCCCAATCCAGTTCTCCCCCAGCACTCACCTTGGAATTCTCTTAAGCCTCGCTGCAGGGAGAGAACTTTATCTGAGAATTCTTCAGTTCGTTTTTTAACTACTCGGGCGATGGGTTTTCCGATCCAGACCTTCTTGCGCGGATACCTGAGATGATGACAGACATCACCGCCCTTTACTTAGGGTCAAACTTTCCTCTGGTCATTATGACCACTGTTAAGATGGGTGGGGTTATCCCCAACCAACAGAAGAGGGAACTGGGACTGGGAGACACCGCATGACCTGGCCAAGGCTGCTATGAGAAGAGCCGGGACTTAAGGCCATCAGCATTTCTGTCCACTAAGCCGTGTGTCCACCTTTCTTCGTCCTGTCTCACTCCAAGCAAGACCAGTGGACCAATCCAGGAACTAGGATTGCACCGGGACCTCGCTCAGGGGGAATGAGACAACAGTCCTCCCAAGATGTAGTTTTACTTCACACAAGGACAGGTGGAAGGGCATCAAGACAAACCATGGGGCGAGGGCATCTGGTGTCATTGTAACTCTACAGTAAGTCAACTGGGTCGCAGTCCAGGAAAAGGGGAGGGCATACAGGCCTGGAGGGATGAGGAAGCTCTTTTACCTGTTTAAGAAGTCTCTCGTGTCCTGAAAGAGAAAAGGTACAAACATCAATGCCCATCAACTAAAGTCTTCATTCATGAGCCCAGCACTCTGTTAAAGAGCAGATGACAGATAGATACAACCCCCCCTTGTGCAGCTGTCAGGATGTCAGGTTGAAAACAAGCAAGCAATCCCAGGGACAGAAGGGAGGAGGACGCGGAAAGTGACAAGGGACCTGCCCTTGGAGATGCACTGAGATGCGATCTGAAGAGCAGCAGGTGCTGACCCAGTGAAGAGCAGGAAGACGATGAGGTGGGGCATCTTGGTTACAGAACCAGGACCCAGATCACACAGGACGGGGCAGGTGCTGGTTAGGAGTTTGTCCTGTGTTCCTTACACAGCGGAGAACCACCAGAGGATTTCCATGGGGGAATGATGGTGCTGACCTGCCCTCTGTGGCCAAGATGGCCACAGCCTCTGGGGGCCACGCCCTCCTTTGTCCTTTCAGGAACAGAAGCCCTGGAGAAGCTGGGCAGAAGGCCACCCAGTAAGAGATCCCACCTATCACTAGCTCTGACTAAATTCCTGACCAAGACATTATACAAGCAAATCTGTCTCCGAATTTTCCGCCTCTGTGATAGGTTTTTGTGTGCCAATGGGGCACTTGTCAGAAGATATGGGTGGAGTTTAGCCTGTCAATCAAGTCACAGCTTGATGACTCTCTGGAGGCTGCCCTTCCCCCCCTTCCCCTTTCTTCACCTTCCTGTTGATGAGCCACGCTGAGACCGGCATGGGCCACCACCATTGGGTCTCCACAACTCTGCACCCAGCAGCTTGAGATCTTCCTGCATTCTGTATCATTGCATGTGGCTGAGCGAGTCTGAAGAAGGACTTAGGGACTAGTATTAGACTTAAGGGCTTGATCTGAACTGGGCTGGAATGCTTTGATTGATGCATAATTACTTCTTTATATATAGCTCTTTCCTAACATATATATCAGTGTCACTGACTTTGATAGTCAACCTGGCTTAACGCCGCTGCCACCACCACCACCATCCCACCCTCAGTTGACCTTTGAACATGGCAATAGTGAGCTGGACCACATAGCTTAGGATGACATCAGTGGGAGGTACCGGAGCAATGGAATGGGAATCACCTGACTCCCTGGATGACCTGCTGGGCAGCATGCCTCACTGCTCTAGACCCTGAAGTCTGGGCTATTACCAAGAGACAACCATGTGTTTTGTCTGATTTTTCAGTCAGTCTTTGCTCTGCAGAAAATGGGTTCAGGGAGGCAATGGGAATGTGGAAAGGCCAGCGTGGGCCAGGTGAGTGAGCGCCTGGACCAGGGCAGGGTGGCTGCAGGAGATGGGGAGAGGCAGCCTGTTTCTGGTAGGCTTTTGTCACAGACAAGGTCACAACGGGAGCTGCAGGGAGGGACTGGAGAGAAAAGATGGCTAGTTCGTGAGATGTTAGCTGGCTTTCCTTTGGTGAATCTATAGCCTCCGGCACACTTTTGCATGACTCATGATTTTTGCTTTCTTTTGTCTCCTTCGTGGTATTTATTACGCGCTTCTCTGTGCCAACAACAGCTTTGGAGAAGGGAGCGAGCAGCGAGGAGAGAGACCTATCCTGGGCCTTTGTAGAACAGACAGTTTGCTCGAAGGAAGCAGACAACCCACAAAATACACAGAAACAAATGCACACACACACACGTGAACTCATTCTTGTCCAGCTGACTCTGATTCCTGTTGATCCTGGGGTGCCATATCGACGTGCTGGGCGCCGCTCCTTGGGAAAAAAGGGCTTTCTACTCCCATGAAGAGTTGGGCTTGAACACCCACAGAGGCCGTTCTACCCTGCCCCACAGTGTCACTCATGACGAGCCGGCATGGACTCAAGGGCGGTGAGTTTGGATGGAGGACAGAGTAGAGCTGCCCTGTAGTGCTTCCAAAGCTGAAGGGCACTTCCTTCTAGAGAGAGGCTGATGGACTGTTAGTATCAGGTGACCAGATGTCCCACTTTTGGCGGGACAGTCCCGATTTTTAACAATTTTTCCCCGCATCCCGCGGCATTTTTAAAAAGTCCCGATTTTTGGAAAGAATGCACGACAAGCTAGGGTATACGGTTTTTGGCTGTCATGTGGCTATTTCGCCAGGATATGAGTTTTATCCATGGTGTCCCGCTTTACCAATGTTAACATCTGGTCACCTTATGTTAGTAGCGAGAGTGGAGGAGAACGTACTCTTTATGTTGATGAAGGAGTCCTGGTCATTAACACGATAACACTAGTCCTGTAATCAAAACAGCGCATGGGAATCCATTCTCTCCTATTAGGGGGTAAGTGTAATGAGAAAAAGGCCAAGGTGAGGGAGGATGGAGAGGTGGGCCTGCTTCTCTGAGAGGGTGAGAAGGAAATCATCAGATGGTAGCGGTGGATGACGGCTTCCAGTGGTCGCAGGAAGAACTACTGTACAAGAAACCAATTCTACCCGTCGGCTCCTATGAGGCAACAGTTCAAAATCTCTGACACATTTCTTTGGAGCCTCTCGCTCCACACAAGCTGAGGCGGTACGGTACACGCAGACAAGTAATGTGTGGGGAAAGTCGGGGTGAAAGGCTGGGGCGGCAGCTAGGGTGGGGCAGGCAGCCAAGGGGCCATCCTGTCACACTAGCAGGGGAGAGCCTGAGGAGGCAGGCCTGAGACAGCCCATCTCAGTGGTGGAGGTGGTCCGAGTGCTCTCAGAGACTGTAAAGGCCGGGCCTCTGTGGGCCCACACACTCCTTCATGTGGAGCCGGGAAAGACACCCTCCAGACCGTCCCAGCAGCATCCCCAGCTGGTGCCTCTCTGGGCTGTGTACAGCAACACACCCACAGCAAATGGCAGGACACACACCCTGGCCAGAAGGAGAAGAGGAAGGAAAGGGAAGGAAGCAGCAGCAAGGCAAAGGAATTCCCAGGAAGGGAGAGACTTCCATGGAAAGTAGGAGGCCAGAAAACCACTTGGAACTAAACGAGACAATGGAAGAAGAGTGCCCCCTGGGGTCCAGCTTTGGCTTCACTGCTCTGACCCAGGACTTGGGATGGACCACGTTTGCTTGCTGGACCTCAGGGACTTGGTCAGTGGGGTGCTGGGCTGGAAGGGTTCTAAAATTTGGGTCAGAGTGGGTGATAGGGAGGGAAAGAGGATTTTAAGAATAAAAAACTGAAGGTGGGAGGCAGTACTAGAACTGACTATGATTGCACAAATATGGATGATCGGGGAGGGGGGGGATTGCCACAATTCTCCTTGATATGATTAAATGACCCGAACTATTGAACTGCATGTTATGTAAATTATGTGCCAATAAAACTTATAAAGAATAAAAATCCTGGTCAGCCCTCATCCTGAGTCTGCATCCACAATGGGAGAGGCCACAATGCACCCCGCTGAACTTGAACTTGTCTCTCCACTGCTGGAGCATCACCTGCCTCAGTACTGGCAGGACAGCACTTTCTGAAAGACACCCAGACGGTTCTGTGGCTGACAGGCCCAGCCACCCCAAACCATGCCAGTCAGGGAGACTGTGAGGCAACCACTTGCAGCGGGAAGGACTCTCCTGTTCTCGGTAACAAAGCCACCTTCTCCGGGAGGTGTTGCTTGCCTGGTCATCCCAGAGAAAACCTCACCCACCTGTCTTTGCCAACAACTGCCATCTCCTCCCCTTCCCCAGAGAGAAACCCCCATGCAGCCATACACAACACAGTCTTGGCATCAGCTTCCCCCTGAGGAGAGCCTGCTAATGGCCTGCGAGGAGAAGGGTGCAATGGCAGGGATGGGCTAGAAGGTTAAGACAACATCCCCTTCCCGTCATTTCTAAAGCACCTTTCACTTTCCTAAAGCAGAGGTGATAGAAATCTCACTTTTTACAGTGACACCAAAACAGTGAGTCCAGAGTACACAGTCCCAGAGGGAGCAACTCTCCCAAGGTCACCCCGGGCGTCTCACCTGCATGAACTCTATGGCCGGCTGCTGCACCTTTCCCTCCAGCTCGGAGATGACCAGCGCCAGCCGGGAGAGCTCCTCGGCGCTCCTGGAATTGTACTTCTCTCTGCCCTCGGTGAGCTCCAGCTCCAGCCTCACCAGCTGGTCCAGCAGATGCTGTTCCCGCTCTCTCAGGAACTGGTGGCCCTTCTCAAACGTAGCCACGATGCACTGCCTCTGCTCCTGGAACTTCTTCTGCAGGGGCCGCAGGGGGACAGGCATGGGCTCGGGCTCAGAGACAGGGCTCCTCCAGGCCCCAGCCCAAGAGGCCCACCAGGCCTGACGGACTTTTCTCCCTTTACCTCCCCCATTCCTGAATCAGTCCAGAGGCATGGAGGAAGGAGGACCTGGCATTGCCAGGTTGCTGAAAACCCCACGGAGCACAGCTCTCCCCGGCACACGTGGACTTGCGTCAGCGTGGTGGCAATGGCTGGCCCCCGGTAGTGTGTGGACCAGGAGAGCTTTAGGGTCCACCCTCCTCCCCTCAAAGAAGACATGGTAGGTGAGCGAGCTGAGCTGACTCAAAGCCTGGCAGGATCTTGGCTGCCCAGCTCTTTGATACCAGAGTCCGACGTACTGCTCTAGGTGAACCAATGTGCATCCTTTAAGGAACTTTCTGGGGCTCATACCTTTCCCTCCTGGGTACCGATGTCTCTATGTCCACTTTCTGGAACCTTTCTAGGATTGATACCACCCAAGCCCCACCCACCATCCTTGGGGCACCTCTGTGACAGGTGCACTCCATGCTTGCCCGGAGGACTGCACCCTGTTCCCGCCGCTGAAGCACACGGTGGGTTGATGCCTATGCTCAAGGGGAGTCCAAATCCCTTCCTGCCTCTGAGCTGCCCTGGCGAGGGCAGGCTCGGCTCTGACCATTATCCTGTGTCCCCATGGCTGCGTCATGCTGGCTTGGAGGCCACCATGCACGCTGGGCCTGGGGAACTCCCAGACCGGGGTTCCAGGAGCACCACCCACCAGGGCAGTCGGGATGTCAGCATCTCCCTGTGTCTGACAGCCCTGAAAACTTTACCCTCTCCCTCTGGGGCCACCGCCAGTTCCTTCCGTCCTAGTGCCTTTGCTCTGTAATTGCAGGTGACTGTGGGGCTGGGTCTGCACTTGCCTCGACACAGGGCCTGCCATCCCAGCTGCTCAGAACTTCCTCAGTCGTCCCGTTTTCTTCCTGACCCCGACTCCTCTCTGCTCTCAGCAGTCACGTTTCCCCTCCTCCCCTTTGAGAGGAACAGCAAGACAGGCTTTCCTCGGCCTCCCCACGCTCTCTCCTCTGTAGAACAGCAGCAGCTGCCAGATGTGGGCCTAAAGCCGAAGACCCATGGAAAACAGCTGGCATGGGGGCAGCCCACTCGCTGGTCAGATGAGAGAACAGGCCAAGTGCCACACAGTTCAGATCAGTGAGATTGGGGTTAAACCCAGGCCCCTGGGCCTCCAGTCCGACATGTGTCCTGTCTTATCCAGTGAGTGTCGAGTGTCCCCTACCTAGTCTCCCTGAGCCCTCATGGCTGACACCCTGGGAAAGGCTGCCCCGGGGCCTTCTCCACCAGCCTCACTCACCAGAGCACTCAGGATATCTGCGTCTCCCTTGGTCTGAAAGCCCTGGATTTTGTCCCGGTCTCTCCTGAGGGTGGTCAGGTGGTTCAGGATTTTTTCCTGCGGGGAAGACAAGTGATGGGGAAAGGTGGATGCTCGGGGCTGGGGCAGGACAGTGGGCTCCGGTCCGTGTCCTCAGTCTACAGGACATTTCTGAGGGGCCCTGCAGGGTGAGGGGGCTCACCCTGTGCGGCTGGGCAGCCTTCTCCATCAGCACGGCCGTGTGGAACTGGTGCTCCCGGGACTCCCGGCACAGCACGCACAGCAGCTTCCCGTCATCCTCACAGTAGTAGTGCAGCTTCTCCTGGTGCCGCGGGCACAGCCTGGCACCCCGGGGCTCCCCAGCCCCTTCCCAGTGCTGCCGGCCTTTGTCCACCTTCAGCCGCTCGATGTTCTCCACGAGGCTGGCCATCTGCCACACGGGGCGGATGTTCTCCTTTTTAAAGGGCTTCTTGCAGAGGGGGCAGATGGAGCGGCCCCCCGACACGGGGCAGACATCCATGGTGCAACTCCGGCAGAAGACATGGCCACAGTCGATGGTCACGGGGTCCCGCAGGTAATCGAGGCAGATGGAGCAGGTCACCTCCTCTTCCAGGCTTCGCAGGGGTGCTGATGTGGCCATGGTACCCGGCACACAGAGAAACCTCTGTTCACCAGTGGGGCGTCTTGTCCTTGGAACAAACAGGGATGGAGGTGGTAGCTCAGCACAGGGACACCAGCTCCAGCAACCAACCCACTAGCGAGCCAGTCAACCAACCCCCCCACCAACCAACCAACCAATCCACCAGCCAGCCAACCAACCAATCAACCCACCAACCAACCAACCAACCAACC